AAAGAGGATGATGTAAGACGCAACTGAGGGAAACACATAACAATTAAAGTTGTCTGCAAAGCTACAAATTAAGACTAAATCAGAAATAGTCGGTTAACCCACGGTTAGCTCAATTGCGTTTTGAACAACGCAACCCACGTGCCTCTCAAGCTCAACTTAAAAAATAGTAACATAGCTGTGGTAAAATATTTACAACAATCTTGACTTGCAATTCTAAGATTGCACTTGTTCTTCACATGGAACTTGTTCTATGGCTTTGTCTCCCCTCCCTGCAAGGAGTCAGGCTTTGGCACAACAGGAGCTGCATCGGCTGATCCAACCCCTGATAGAATAGGATCATGTTCCAGATCGCTGGCCACTTCCCAGTCATTCTTAGGATCATCAAGATACTCGTCTGGTTCTTCGATTTTCTTCACTTGATTGTTTATCTTCTCTCTGAAGTATTTTACATACGAAATTTCATTTTTCATCATGTTTTCGCAAAGCTTTCTCTTCCTCATGGGGACGTTTTTCTTGAGGGAGTAGCCTTTTACGTAAACTCCAGTGTACGCCTCGTCCAAGAAGTTTCCTTTTTGCAGACAAGCTCTTGACAAGGCTTCCTTTCTACGTTTAAAAACCCTGAGTTCTTTTTGAAAACTCGGTCCCTGAGCTTTGACTTTTTTCCAGAACGTTCTATAGAAATACTGATACAGCATAAAATCGGCCTTGTTCCAGCTCTTTATATCCTCTCTAACTTCCTTATCTATAACTTTCTGCTTCTGCTTATCTTGCCGCTCGTTCAATTTGAAGTACAAAATATCTTTCAACTCCCAGCACAAAAGTCGTTTTAGAAGCAACAGGGACTCATCGAAATGTTCTAGAATCATGACCAGATCAAATTCTTTGTCCAAGAAATTTATGTATCGCTTAACCGCAGTCACATTTTGGAAGTATCGAAAATCCAAACCAAGATCGAAAAGCATCGGGTTGCGCACTAAATTAAGGGCCAAAGTTGTTTTCATCAAAGGTTTTATCTCTTGAAACGGTGGTGGAAATTTTAAAAACGTTCCAAGAGGGTCTTCTTCGTCCTTAAAACCTAACGGCTTCGCAAAATGCATGAAATTAAACACAGATTCATATTGGGAAACCGGATCCCTGAGTATTGTTATGTAGCGACTGTGCACTTTTGGAAATATATAATTCATTGGTCTTTTGTTAAATCTCGCGTGATTGCAGAGAATATTTGCCCCAAAATTGTACAAAGGTGCACTGTAGGAGACGCGAAATCTTGCTGGCCACAAGAATGTGAAAAGCTGCTTCTGCCTCGGTAGCACAAAAGTCAAGTTTTTTTTGTCTCCATATCGGTTAAGAATATTTGTGATTGTGCTACTACCAGTTTTGTGAGTTTTTAGAAACAGGACATGATTTGTCGGGGAGCATGTTTGCTTTTTCTGATGTTTTGGCGGCTTTTGACTCTTCAAGCTTGGAAGGTTCTCTGGTTGTGATGATATATTTACAAACCGATACTCTGTTTGGTCTGCTTTTCGTTCTCCAGCTGACAAAATGTCAGCTCTGTCGAACTTCAAATTCCTTGTGGATGTTATCCTATTTCAAGAAAGAAAAGTTAATATTTCATTTATTGGTTGTTACCTAATTCGTGCAATTTATCACACGTAATTCCTTATCAGAGTGTATCATTGCCTTTTTAGCCTCTTCTCTTTAGACACGTAATGTACTATCCATGGTAATAATTTTATTTTCTAAGCTAAGAAAATCATCTGTTTTTTACAAGAGAGAGTGAAGGTAAGAGAATAAACTCCTGTGTAGAACCTGTTCGCATGACCCGAGAAAACTCTCTCCTATTTTTAAATCACCTTCCAATCGATAGGATTTCTATTTATTCAAAATGTAAATATCGAGACTCATGTACGTGACTTTATCCCAGAAATAGAAATTCCTAAGTAATAAAATAATTGAAAGGAAAGGAGGTAATTATAAAATGAGTTAACCATTGCTAACGATTGTTGTTCCCGAAAGTTTGACTATATTTTGAGTAAAAGTCAAGGAGGTTTGAGAAGCTTAAATATTAATTCATCTTCATTAAATGAGATTGAAACAGTTGTAGTTCTGCGGTATCCTTGTAAATTTGTAGAAAATTAATTATGGGAATGTTTTTAACGACGTTATATTCTGAATTTTACCCAATACAACAGCGTTCGAAATTAAGTTTCCAATCGTTCAAAATTCCTGGAAGTTAATTATCGCATTGAAAAAACATTGGAATGAGGTTAAAATGACTGCTAATATAGCTTTCGAACTGCAGCTGCACGATAAATCTGGGACAAAGATTAACACCTGTAGGGATAGTAAAATATTATTAATTTCCTGTCGATGGAATAAAGGGGGGCAAAATTGACTTGATCTGGAGAAATATCTTTATTTCTAGCAAGATCTATATGAGAAGTAATATCACTTACTTGCGCTCTACGGTAGGACAGCGAGCTGTCGACGGCAGATTGTTCATTCCGTAAAAAACGATGCATATCAATGAAATCGCAGAGACACAACCGAAGAGGGTCTTCATATGGAACGCCATCACTAAGATCGTTGCCGACGTATTCCCATTTCATGTTTTCATGTTTGTCTTTAGCAACCTAGTTCCTTTAGACTTGTTAATTCACGCGTGCGTCCAATTAAGTCGCTTTGTGGCCACTTTACGCCGCCAAAGGAAGGCAAATGCTCTTTGTTTATTCCATGTGTGAATGAATGAGGCTGCGTGTTTTCAACTGTCTCCGATTAATTATTTATGATCTATGGCCATCCTTTTGTCCATTTCATCCGCGTTGTAAGTCAAGTCGACTATACTCTTTGTCCAAGTGAGCTCCAATCGTGAAACTTCAAAATAACTAATTTCAAGCGTTTACAGAGAAAAGTTCTCAATAAAATAACACAAGAGCTCAAAAGTACGAAGAAAAAAGTCGGTAATTTATGTAAAGAAGAATCGATCAACAGCAGGTAACTCAGAGTGGTTGTAATTCAAAACGCGTTAACTTGGAGCATGTGACCAACAAAACGAGCCTAAATACATTCCAAAACTGCCGAGAGTAGAGGGTTATTGTAAATAAAGGGTATTGACGTTGATTTGATAGATTTACTCTCTCTAACTCGTGCCAATAGAAAAAGGGAAAATTTTTTTATTTACTATATAACCTCGAAGTAATCTTGTATTCAATGTGGCTAGAAGGAGATCTATGAATTGGATTCAATCATGATCAGGTTTGAAGTCATGGCAAACGCTTATAACGCCATGTTCAGAGAAAATAATGAGACAAAGAGGGAGGATTTTGAACCAGGCCTTGAGATATGTCAATTTCACTCAAGTTATTTGAAGATAGTCTCTCGAGTCTCCAACGAAAGTATGGTTTCTGAGAAGTCCGCATCAAAGTTAACACCTGTGTAATCCTCTGCACTAACGACCACTTCAACAATAAGAATAAAAATAAAAATAAAAATAATTCTTATTTCTGGCGCATTACATCAGTGAAATCTCAAAGCACTTACAAAAATGGTAATGATTAATGATCCAACAAAACCTCTCCAACAATTAATTGTAAAATAAAAAGGCTTGATAAAAGAGACTTGAGTACCAGGAATAATAAATTTTAGCTTCCGGTGCTCTCTACGTCTCAAAAACGTTTGTGATTAAGCTCCCTAATATCTTCGAGAGGCGAAATGTAAACATGGTAAAGGATGAACAACAGCGAACAATTAGTTCAATTGTAAGATTATATCAGAAAACTTTGGCAAATAAAGGTTTCATTTCTTTCTTAAGTCAGGTAACTTTCAGTCTATGCTGTTCACTCCACGTTCAATGAACCAGAAATATTTCCCGTGTTTAGATCATAGAGCTACCGAAAAAGAAAAGAAAAGAAAGAATGAAATTTGAAGAAAAGAGAGCACCAAGCGTCAGCTATAATGTATTTACGTCTGGCAAGACTTGAGTCACTTGAGTCGCAACAGTCAAGACTTGACTGTTGCGCACGTGTAACAGGAAAAAGTCATACAATTCCATGTATGCTAATTCCAATTCTCCTCACTTACACCATTCAATAAATCGCGTATGTCGTTCTATGTTGTCACAGAAACGCAACAGACTTGTTTCTTGAGTCTCTGTTATTTACGGTGGCTGCACGGAATCTAGCGACCGCTGGTTAAGGGAAGCAAGGACATGAAGTATTGAATAACACGTCATGACCCTCAAAGAGCATTTTTTTTGTGGCAGTTAAATAAATGATGTAAATATATTGATCCAATAAAGATTCAGAGATATCCCATGGGAAATTTTTGAAGCCGGATGTACTTCAGGATTTTCATATGGAATGCAAAAATCTTTTCTCAACAATTGCTCGTCCTCATTTCGATTTTGAAGAAGCTTTCATCTTTTGGCTATTTGCCGGGAAGAATTTTATGTAATTTCTTCGCAAAACTTTTCCTTGCCTTTTGCTTTGCCTTCTTCCTTCCTTTCCTTGTACATCAACCAAAAGTAACTCAAAAGTCTGCAGAATGAGAGAAAATTTATTTGCGTTTTCAGGCGAGTGGAGGCAAACACGAGACAAACGCAAGGCTAGCGTGAAGCGTGGCTTACGCGCGAGGTGAACTTCGGATGACACGATAAAGCTGAAACAAGGGGAAAATTTCTCTTGCTCTGAGAGCACCACCCGTCACTTTTCTACTTAAGGGGTCGTTTAGCTAGTTTCTAGCCCCTACAGCTACCTAAAATTGAACTTGAGGTTATAATGTGGAATTAACAAGAAAGCAAAGTTAGCTAAATAGTCTCAATTGTAAAGTAATTTCCGCTTTAGTTTGCAGAATACTCGTCAGTCGAAGATTGTATGTATGGATTCAAATAAATTAGTAAGCTCTTTGTTTGGATGAGACAGGTTTTAGTTGTATGTGGTGCAAACAATGTAACTGAGACGATGACACTAACTTACAAAAATTAAACGACATTTCTATGACGCTTGAAACAATCGCGAATTGAGAAATAAGATAATTATTTTGCACGTAAAATAAAACAAAATAGGTATTATGATAATGGTAATGAAATGAGGTGAAAAAAAAAGATAGGGCCTTTTTGGCTCTTTTTCTTATTTTCTTTCTTTTTTTTTTTTTTTTGGCAAAGCAAAGATTAATTCATGAAACAACCTTTACGGTTTTTTGTCATAATAGGCCAAGAAACCTTAGGGAAAACTGAATATTTCAGCTGCAAGTCAAAGCAGACAGTACGTGGAATATTAAACAATGTTTATTTAAGAATTTAAAGACAAGTTTCAAAATGCAAATGAATGTGGGAAAAATTGTTTTGTTACAGTTAGCTGCTTCAAACAGCTGCAAAGATAATGAATGTGGTCACAAATTAATCGTATTATCTTTGGTCAGTGTAAACTTCTAGGCGACTGTATAACTGGCAAAGAGCACGCCGCAGTGAAGTATGATGCTTTCTTCGAAACATCACTTCTTTCGTATAAATTTCATATTGCCGTTGGCTCTATGTCTTGGGAGTCGGTATTGTGGATTGTCCGATGCGAAAGAAACCCAAGTGATGTCTACCGCTGCCGCGATTAAAACATCATTAACTATGGAAATTAAACCTTCTATGAGGATGGCCGGATTTCGTGAGAACTATGCCACTAAAACATTAGCAGCAAGCTTGGAAATCAAGACAATTTATTCCAAATCCAAAGTGTTTACAGTGCAAGAAACAAATATTCCAGAACAATCAAGTTTTTCAGCTGAGGCCGTAATTCGACAGTCACGGGAAACAAAACGCAGTTCGACTTTTCTTTACAGCGATGCATTGACTTCCACATCGCGAGTCAATTCAGGCTCACCTCACGCTAATACCTCAACATATTTCTTCCCGGAACTTCCATCCTCTGTCGTTTCTTTTTCTCCGAATCGGACGAATCATTTTGAGTTGAATTCGACTGCCGCCCCAACTCACAATTACGATGAAAATGGAGACTGCTCCTCAGGACAAACGGTGGAGAAATCATGCGACACTTATGTAACTAGATGGGTCGATTTTTACGTGAATGTAAGTATTTCTAAATGTTTCAGAACTGAAATGCTTTGTATTATTTGTGATAAATTTAATCACCCTCGTCTTCTAATATGTTCTCACTGACATGCTTAGGATGAAGCAGGAACATGCCGAAGACATAGAATTCAAATAGAATTCAAAATATCATGAATTTTAGTAGAAAAATTATTAATTGCACAGCGATTATTATCACAGGGTTTATAAATAGTGTTTACGCATGATAAAAACGACCTGTGTACATTTAAAAAGGCACTCCACTGAGCCATGATGTCAACAACGACACGAAAATTCAAAGAAAAACTGAATATTAAGCGCGCAACCGAGTAACCAACAACGTTAAAATAATCAAAACGGATCGAATTATTTCAACGGTTAGCCAGGCCAGTACAGATCTTATGGAAAATTAGAGATCATGCTTATATTTGAATGCATTATACGTCCGTGACACTACTAACTATTACGTGCGTGGGCAGGCGGCTCGATCAAAAGTCAACTTGTGTAGAAATACAAAAACAATGAGCTAAACTATGAAATAGAAAAAGCAATAACAACAATCAAACAACCACTGTGGAAAAACCTACAAGATGAAGAATGCTAATACTAAAATTTAATGGCAGACCGAAAAAAAAAAATCAGTAAAGTGCTAAACGACTATGCTTCAAACACCTGCCTCTCCGGCAGCTTACAAGGTGCAATAATGATCCTTAATAGACGTTGGACGTTTATTCTATGAACTCGAGGGGGAAAAAGTACAATGATTTTCGAGGCTATTAAAGGAAATTGCCCTTAGTTCTTAAATATTTCACTTGTCAGGAACAAATTTGATTGGATATCATCGATTCCCAGTTATCTTACTATGCTTTTTCAGATAGATAAAGTGTACCAATTTCTAAGTGACCATAGTGACAGACCAACGTTTTTTGCATTTTTATATTGTTACAGGTCTGCATACATTAATTAAAAACGTGTGCATATCAAACACGCCATCAAAAGTCCATTACTGTAATTACAACGCAGAATTTCAAGATTTAAACTTAAATCATTATTATTCACTCATGATGATTTTAAAAGCAAAGATCATTAGAATTGAATTAATTCATAAAAAACACCCCAAGGCAAAGAAATTATTTATGAAGAATCCCCATTGTGAAGTCGATATGATCATTCTATAGTATCCAATGAGCCTTAGGAAAAGATATGATTGCTTTGCTCAGTTACCAAACTGATTATCGGAGCAACTAAAGTTACTTCCAGTTTTTTGTTTAATTATGCGGTAGTCATTTCTTAAATTAAACCTTCAATAATTGTCATTACCTTACCTGGGGTGCCTATTTCGAGAGATGAGGTAATCCTTGACAAATCAGAGCATTCACCTCTCGATAATCATTGAAGCTATTACACTAAACAAGCGATAGTGCCCTTCTTTGTAGAGAATGGAATATTTCGTTCCATTTAATGATTTAACGACTGCTATGCTGTTTTACTCTCTTCGTGGGGTGTGGGGGGTGGGGCTGGCGTATCTTAGCGATCAATTTCGTTAGAAATTTTAAGTCCAGAGTAAACATCCTAAATGAAGTGAACTATTATCAAATCTCTCAGATATTATTGAAAATGACGATGGAAAACATTACACTAATACGCTATCTTCAACGGAGCTTTTTTTCAATAGTTCACTTTACTAATTTGTGCTCTGTTATCATATAATAAATTTCAGTGTGATAGTTGATTGGAAAATCTTAGATTTGAGTTTATGACACTTTGAGGACGTTAGGATCGTTCTCTCCCCACACCCCTTAGGAAAGCAAGTCACCTCTTTTCACACCATGATATCCTGAAAAGTAATTTATTCTAGCGCTGTTATTATTGAGATATGCTAGTAAAGGTGCAACTTTTTGTCTTAATTCATAGGTTGGGGGATGGATAATGCTGGCAGTTGTTCTTGTCGGAATTACGGTGCTGGTTTCAACTCATTTTCAAGCCAGGAAGAAAACAAAAGAGTTGAAGAGATTACCTCAATTAATGTACAAAGAAATACGTCGCAACCGAGGTCGCTGGGTATAGAAAGAGCGACGAAATATTCATCTGTAAAACATCAAAGAGGCCTTGTTCATGTGATGTCCGAGTCAGACTACTACTCTCGTTCTGGCTTTCCTTATACAGTCTTCGTCAAGGCATGAACGAAATATCGATGATTAATTTTATATGCTAGACAGAACTTTAATATTACCTTGTCTACCTCTTGCGTTAAACTTCGGACCTCGTTCAGAAGACAAAAACTAGATTACAAATAAACTATAGTCTGCGCTTTAATTTATGATTTAGTAACGAGACTGACGAAAGCGGTGGACCAGTATGCTACCGACTACCGTTAGCTCTTGCAATGCAACAGCAGCTTTGGTCAGAGTAAGAAATGGCGCTTATGCAATCTGCCGACATGCAAAATACTTAAAAAATATTGTAGGGATAAAAATTAAGGAACGAAGGCTTCTAAGTAAGCCTCGGTGCAAGTGTTTCAAATAAATTGTTCTAGGATACTCACTAGCGCAGCCGGTGTCCTTCTACTTAGACTTCGCTAAAAAATTTGACTTTCTTATTTTAGCATCATCAAATAAGAAACATGGTCCTTGAAGAAGGATACACCCTTACTTTGCTTGGCTTGATGTAAAAATTACCGCTGCTATTGAGTACTGAGTGCTCCAAAAAGCACCTGAGCTTAGTCGCCAGCAGGTAACTATTCTGAGCTGCTTTCCTCTCAATTATTTATCTTTAAGTACAAGATACTAATATTATCACTCGAAGAAAAAAAGATTTCTTGACACCTTTTTCGTAGCTCGTTTAAGAACGTTCGATATTTTTATCAATTTAAAAAATTAGTCTAGTATCTTACAAACTAAAGCTTAGCAAGCTTCTTGTAAATAAAATATTGCTGCTTGGGAAACATATGGTATTATTTTGACATTCATATAGGCGTCAGTAAGATGCAGCCTTCAACTACGAGAAATACAATGAAAGGCTCACGAACATCAACAAACACGATATTTTTAGGAGACTTGAAACAACCGAATTTCAGCTCCGGAGAACTTCAATTTTAGATTGCTTTATTTTCTTTCATGTATATCAGGCTCTGAAACCTTCTTTAGGTCGTGCGTCGATAGACTAATAAAGATCCCAATGAAAAGTTGTAGTTCTCTAACCTTTGACTTAAAATCCTTCATGGTACATCGTACTACAAATTCCCTTATTGGTTTGGAAAGATATTTTTGTCAAAAGATTTTTAATAGATATCTGTATCACAGAGTTCTAACCATCAATGGTATCCAGACTTCTTGCGCCGCAAATAAGTCCCCTAAATCTTCCATTGGACCTCTTAGATAGTTTGGACTTTGTCTCACCTGCCCTAAAGGCCTGCAGCTTCTCTTTACATTTCTTCTCTTTTAGCGACAGATTTCGCAAAGAGAATCTATGTCGATCTCTTATGAAAGCTTTCCGGACAGAGTTCGCTCTAGATTCTCTCATTTTTTTTGCCAAGTTGGCAAATACTTCATCTACACCAATGTCGTTCTTGGCAGAGGTTTCAAAAAATGAGCAACATAAGGTAGCAGCAATTTTTTTCCCGTCCTGATATGAAACTTCTCTTTCATCATCTAGGTCACTCTGAAGATGGAACAAAATAAGATTTAGAATAGTACAAAATAGAAACCAGACACGTGCGACTTCAGAAAATGAGGATTTTGCCGAGCTTTGCCCAAAATGGCGGGGAACTTGTGATTTCAGAATATAATTATACGATGGTCAAGAATGTATTTCGTTGTAGTGAGGTTACATGTGAGCCAGAGTTGCTGAGTAAGATTTAAACCATCCCACCAGTAAGATAAAATTCCTCCAGAGAGTAACAACATCAGTTTTGTCTGTATGTGGTAGATCGATATGTGGGCATTATTGATGTAAAACAGAATTTTATTCAGGTTACAATGTTTTATTGTAAAAACTTTTTTCCCTTTTTTTCACCGAATCCAGTAGACGTCATTTGAAGGTTCTCTAATGACTTCTGAACCGATTTCACAGAAATCAGTGCAAATTGGAGAAAGGCAAACGACGCAAGCAGATACTACGGAATAATTACCTAACGTAGAGGCAACAATTCAAAGACGTGCACAATCCACATGAAAATAAATCGAGAAATCAACATACTGACATATAAATAGGTCAATGAAGCACGAATCCACAGCAATAACGATAATAACAATCAAGAAAACAATGAGTAACTTTGCTCACTTTGTTTCCAACCAAAATAATGGGGATTTGAGGTATGATTTTGTCCTTTTTTCCTTTAGCAGCAACGATCTGTTCATGGAAAGACGTGATTGCAGTGGAACTAGAGCGGTCTGTTATGGAATAAACCAATAAGAATCCGTCCCCACTTTTTATGTATTGATCTCTCATTCGCCGGAACACGTCCTTAAATAAAATTATTTACGAGTCAAACACATTTACATATGGGTGAATGTAACAAACAATTACTGAACAAAGAATGGGCGAAGTTGGACTGAAAGGAGATGTAGTTTAAACGATATTATATAAAGGGAGGAGAATGATGATAAATGTTATGTGTTGTTTGTAACTTTCAGTTGTTAAATGTCAAGTAAACTTTTTATCACGTGTTGGAGACCAATGTCACCACAGCTTGAGCCACAGTACTTCAGGGTTCTAGCATCACTGAAATGACTGGAAGATCAGAGGGTAGCTTGATCTTTGAGTTAAGAATGGTTGTACTTTAAGGTCGTGGGAGTGAAATTGAGATTGGGTAAACTTACGTTTCCTGCCGTGTCAACCACTTCAACTTTGATCGGGCATCCATCCACCTCAATATCTATTTCGTAGTTATCCTCTTAAAAATAACCAAAGTTTAAGAGACATTTAACAGCCCGCATCTCAGTGTATCAAATAATTCCTAAAACTAGACTTTTTCAGACATTTACTCTCTATCACATTTTAGCGCGGTCAAAGCTATGCTAGGCAAGATTTTCAGAAAAGTCGTGCTTTCAGTGATTGAAATTGTCTTAACGCGCATAGGAAGAGAACGAAGGGGGCAAGCTGAAGTCCTGGAAATAAAATGAATTATCTCGAAAGTACGGAGTTTCTTAAGTAAAAAAAATACACTAAAACCACAGAAAAAGAGTTATTTGGATTGATTTGATGTATCTAAAGATACATATCTACATATCTAAAGGTCAAAGAAACAATGAATCTTTCCGAGAGAGAATAAAGTCCTCTCCTGATGTTTCTCAAGAAATTTCGCATCTAACCATGCGACGAATAACAGAGGGAAATTTTTGTTCAGTTTTTTTTCTCCCTTCTTTATTAAAATTTAACAACAACTAACCAACTGATGCAATGAGTTGCTTGTATCATCGTTATATGAACGATTATAAGTAAAATGATACGTGTAAAATAAAGGTAAGGGTTTTTCTTAGCTTTCAGGGCATAAAACGTGTGAAAGATAAATATACAGATGTCTAACCACAAGTGTTGGCTAAATGCACGTATTTTCTCAGGCTCTAAACAAATTTTTTTCTGTTCTCGGTTTAGTTTTGTGTTGCTGTTTTGGGCTGGGTTCGTATTGTGGATTTTTGCGAAGTGTGAATTTGAAAAGCCATTCTGTTTTGAGCCGGGTGTTTGAACTGTTTGTGGTCAGGTTTCTGTGTTTCTTTGGAATTTGTTTGGTATTTAGCCATATGTTTTGAGTTGGTGGTGTGGGTGTGCCAATCTTTTCAATTGCAGTGATTCTGTTCAAATTTTTTTTTTTAATTCGGCATAGTTCTACTGGCCTCTACAGGAGATGAGCCATTTCTCGCTATAACAAAAGGATGAAAAGGACAAGACAATGAAGAACTTGTTTAAAAACATAGATACCATTTTTTTAATTTACCCACCAACCATTTCATTTGTAATTTCAGCAAACAAAGAGAGGCACTGGGTGCAGATTCCCTTCTAAAGAAACCAAATTAAACTCCACAGGAAGCTTTCAAGTGCTAATTCAATTTGTTTATAAGTCCGCCTAATTGAACTTATATGAAGCTGATCGATCGACCTTTTACGTCATGTCTACTATCTTCCAGTTAATGCAATATCCACTTGACGGTTGATAAATCTGTCCAACGTACCTATTGTTGGGTCATAGGCGTCCGAGAACTCTTGGCAAACGTATCGAATGCTCAAAGCTGAAAATTAAGATAATTGTATCAGGTAAGTCTATTTATGTCGGTACAAAACGATAAAGTGACTGTTTTGTCCATATTTATGCGGTTAGTTCTACAGTACTCGGAATTGCTGTCTCGGGGTGTGTGCTCCTCATATGAAAATTTAAAATGTAAAGCTTTCTGGCCAAGCCTAAAACAATTATTTGTCTTGTTTGGGACCGAAAGGAACTGACACTGTCACCAGATTCTTGTACTGATACGACTCGCCTTATTCGTTGATTTAGGCAAAGACTCTAAGGCTTTGCATTCATTTTAAAAGAAGAGTTGACACCATAACAGAGCTTTTCGTTATAATGCGCCGCGAAATGTTTCTTTTTACTCACATCTTGCACATCTGGAGGAATTAGCTTGTTGAATAAATGTGGTCGTTTCGAAACTTAGGAGTATTCAAGTTTCCAACCTTGGATTTCAGGGAAGCCCTGAAGTCTTCATTAAAATTAATATTTCTGTACCTGTAGAAAAATTCATCGCCCTACATCTTATCTTAAGATAAAAAAGTAAACAACGATTTGTCGGAAGGAGTGCTCTTTGACTATGATAACAAAATGGGGTATCTCTGCACCTCACTAACCGCAGGATCATCAGCGGTAATTGCTGCTCTTAGGCTTAATCTTTCCTTGATGTTTTCAAATCCTCGATATATCTTTTGTCAAAGTAGCGAACGATGTTTGGAAAGCAAATGAACATTACTGGTGAGAGCATTACAGCGGTCTTTATGAATTTAATGGAAATTTAAATCTCATTTTGACGAACAGATTGAAATACTAAGGCAAGTCCTATTTACATTCGACCTCCTTGAGAAAACGCTTTGAAGTTATCTTTTCTTACACATGACAGCACGTATGAACCAATTTGAGATATCTTCAAAGTCGAGTCTGCTCTGCGGTAAAACGTATGGGCAGTTTAATTAATTGAATTTTAGTATTTGTAGAAGGAAATGAAGAGACGGCGCTATAGAAGATGATTTTTTTGATGAGCTAAGGTTCAAACAAGGAGGTTCGAGAGAGTGATAAGAGTGCTTTCATCACCCCCACTGACATATGATAAACTTCAAAAAACGCATAAGTCTTGAAATTGTATCTTGACGGCCGTTTATATCGGTTGTTTCTTGGCGTTGTTTCACCTCTTTGAACAAACGATTGTCGAATTGACGATATTTTACACCGGTACGTGATGAAAGCATACATTGGAAACAGCACGCAACACCACTCCCTGCGTGATAACTTCAGTTCTCTTTGTAAACAGATAGCATTGCTTAAGCAGCAGTAAGACGTAACACCACTTCTGTGTATTTTGAACAATAGTTTTCGGAGTTAATTTAACTAATTTTTTCAATTTGGACAAGCACGTATTTATGTCAAAAGTAATAAGTAGATAGTCTAAAGTAATAAGCAGATATTAGTGTGGACTTTTCGCTCCATTGTGCCATCTATCTTTTATGGCATTCATATTTGACCTTTTCGTTAACCTCTTTTGAGTGTGGTATTTCACAAAGCTTAATTTAATTATAAGCGCAAAGCTATAATTATACAAGCAGGTTGCCGCAAAAAAATAAACCACCCACTTCCCGTAGATCGGTTTTCATTTTGAATAGCTTGGAGCATTCGCGCTAAATGGAACAGCGCTGTCTTCATCGTGCGATTTATTTCTCTCCCTTGATCAGAAATGTTTATGCTCGAAGCTTACTCCCAAACCTTTATTCACAGCCATTACAACTCTTAACTTTGTAAGTGAAATCAAGAGGCGTTAACTGTTTACAAATTATGGGTTTTCTACGCGTGGAAGTCTTGTTCCGGTGCGAGACGATCAAAGACTATCTTCTCGATTTTAGATCATCAAAGCCTTAACAAATTCTACTAGATTTAGCACACGAGCAATTAACGCCATCTGTCTTTGTCGACGGTACTACTTTAAGTCAAAGATTCATCGAGTTATAGTTTATTGTACTGCGCCCTTGGAAAGTTATCTCCTGTCATCATTTAGAGATCTTAATCACAGATTAAATAATTCGCCCTTTGTTTTTTTATTGAAATTGTAATACTCCGCAAACATTCCATACCTTTAATTTGCTAATTAAAAAGACACCCAGTCGAGAGACCACTACTTTCAGGTCACGTTTTTAAAAAAAAAAAAGCTGAAGCGTTGGATGAAACTATGAAATAGATATTTTTTAGCTAAATCAAGATGCTGAATAAGCAAATCAAGTATTTTCTTTAGTGAATCATAGCATTTGATAATGATAGAAAAACACAGTTATCGGAAGATCAATTGCACGATCACTTTGGATCTGAACCACGAATTTCCGGTCGAGTGAAAGTAGATGGGTGATATATCAAGTGTTGTAGCTACACAAAAAAACTGTCGAAATGATGTTAATTCTGGCATTAATCTTCCAGTTCATCATCAGGGATTATTGTTAAAGTTTAAAACAATCGACAACTTTTGGCCGAGTGTAATTAGAAGGTTCGTTAAGCACACGAGCCATTCAGTGTAGAAAATTTCGCATTTTCTAAACAATAATCCTTCGTTTTTTTTGGACATCGTTTCCCAAACAGTAATACATACCGGAAGAGTCGTAAAAATACGTTATTGAAAGCTGTTAGAGCTGCATCTCAGCGATTCAGGACAGCCTTTTAGACTGAACCTAAAAAAATTAGACAATGCATTTCATATGATTTCGGCGACTGAATTCTTTAAAAACACACAAAAAGACGAAGTTCAGAAACTTTTCCCTCATCAATTTCCTAGAGAACAACTTTGATTGATAAGAAGGGAGAGGTGTTCTCGAGTTCCAGTCATTGGATTGTCTTCAGTAGGCCGGGAACTAAATATCCCGGGTCGTAATGGCCATACAGCGATTAGTGAGTTTCTTTTTCTCTCGTCTCTGTTTACACATACGGCATGTTTGCCAATTGGCTAAAGTGATTTGAATGGATAATCCTCTTGGATGAAATGGCGATCACGTATTTAACATCGCAACACGCTGTGATTTTCTTCCCTCAAGCATGCTGTTTGTAATGATGCCCTTAGTTGAAGTGGATTTAAAAAAGTCAGGAAAATATCGTCATAATCTGCCATAGGGTTAGTCGGACGAAAGGTGTTTCCTTTTTTCATTTCTCGAGTGTCCCAAGATATAGTCTATATCGAAAAAGACAGAGTTAGATTTCGCGTGCGTGAATGGCAAAAATGTTCTTCCGCCACGCACTTCGAATGATTGGTTTTTTTTGGAAACTTCAAAAGAGAAAACAGGTGACCGTGTCTTGATGAAATGCCAACTGCGGGTTCAGTCAAGAACGTGCATAACAACCTGTACGCAGGACGATGCAATTTCAGAACCACTCGTTGTTGTCACGAGGATACATAATTATCAAGCGTAAATTTCACAGATGCGAAAGATGAGCACACAGTTCACATCAATTTTGGTCAACGTTTTTTTGGTCCAAAAAGTCTAATTATAAAAATCCCTTTGCTTTCCGACTCATTCATTTGGGTATTACTGCGGTTTACCCAGCAACTTGATAGGAAGGCTTTAAAACCACCCCGTGGATTGCAGAAATTTGAGGACAAACCAACCATTTCGGAAAAAGAGAGAAATAAAGTCAGTTGTTTTAGGATCCGGAAGAGCTGCGCAAAACAACAGTCTTCAAGAGGCCAATTCATGCGTTCTCGGATAACGGTAATGTGCCAGTACTTTGCTGTAACTTCAAGTAAATACTGTTTCTCCTTGGAGAGGTCGGCAAAAGTTTTGAATTCTGCTTAAACAATCTCACCAAATAGTGTGTATAATTTAACTATAGGACAAAAGCATCTTCTAGTCTGTAAAAGTTGCGAAGGCTGTTGGTATTGTCAAAATTCTAGTTTATTTCAGGGTAGCTTTCATAATTTTAGACTAACTGAATGACTGGTGCGTAATTACGCTTTTAAAGCGATGTTATGTTGCCAAGAAAAACGCAAATATACTGAGTCAGTGGGCATGGAAACAGCCAAGTTAGCTCGCTGGACGTCTGAAGTTTTACTTTATTGTTTAACTAGTATGGTTTCGTTGACAATCTCGACAAGCTTTTAATAACTAAACTGACTCCATATCATCTTAGAAATAGAGAGGATTACGAAATTGTTTTACAGTTATCACAGTTATGATGATCAAACTCAAACATTCACCATATTGGTTTAACACAGTTATTATGATCAAATTCAAACATTCACCATATTGGTTTAACATAAACTTACATAGGCGGGAGCCCATTGTTTGGCTCCTTTCATGGGCTAAATGAAATTTTTTGGGGGTTCAGTGAAAGTAACGGAAATGAACTCTTGAACTTAAACCGCCCGCCCTCGATTGAACGCACTCAGCTTAAATTTCCAATAATTCATTCGTAAACATTTGAAAGGAAATGAAGATAGCTGTATATGACAAGAGGGCAGGATATCTAATGGTCAACAAAACTGCAAGAAATAGAACCTTCCCAAAATTGATTGACACGTAATCGACTTCGTGAGGCGCGAACAAATGAACAGCGACCATGGAAAGGATAGCTTTATTCAAGAGACCGCTAAAATCATTTGGAAAAATGAAAAAAAAGAAAATGTTTCGCATGTATTAAATATTTGTTGTTTTTAGTGTTGTTTTAATTTTCTTATCATTTTTATTAGATGGTTGGCTAAAAAGGTAAATTAGAGTTAAATTATCAGGATTCTGGCTCTTACCATCCTATGAAGAGGTTCTATTCTTAGTCATGATTGGATACAATGGTTATGTCAAGTGATAAGCTGTGAAAGATCAAGAGTATTAAGTCACCCTGTTACCATGAACACGATAAAGTCGAGCCTATGTCATACTAAGTAGTCCTTATGACGAAAAGTAATGGTGACAATTTTGTATTCATATATTATCCACAAGGTGTCCTAGGCTAATAAAGCCTAAACTGTAGTCCGCCTTCCCTCGGTGACTACTGCGAGAAACAATGAGCAATCTTCATAGGAAATTGGATCGGCTCAACAAGCAAATCAAACTCGACAACTTTGTTCATCAACTTTTAGTAACAGTTTCACTTGCTTGACCTTCACGTGATAAAATTTGCATCTGTAATCACAATTGGATGACGAAAGCTCAAGTGACGTGAAATATTCCGTTTTTCTACCTTACTCTTACTTGTAATTCGACTAAATGCTAAACTCTCCCCGTCGTAGTAGATGAAACACGTACCGATTTGAATCAGATAGTCCTTTACAACACAACGAATAATCAGATAATAAATTATACAATCTAGTCCTAAAGTGACAAATTCTGTTTGAAAAATCCCTTAAATTCCGAAAAATATTTTAATTAACCAGGATTACCAACAAATTGATTTCAAAGAAGGAAGGCAAGCATGATAACGATTAGATTACACTGTATTTTACGTTCAAAAAATTGGCAAGATTAACTTGTTGGCTCTGATCGCGCCCTTCATAACAAAGTAAACGCACACGTTATGTCAAGTGTTATTTCACACAACTTTGCAAATAGAGGAAGGAAGAGAGAGGACACTGAGAATGAGGTTGAAGACCACTCAAGTCGCTAGCGTGACATCTCTTACGACTTGTTTGTCACTAAGCAGAGGCCACCAAGGAAGACTGGATATTGAAACACGTTCGTATCTAATCATGTCGTTGACGCAAAAACATTTAAATCGCGCAAAACAACCCTAATAGTTCCGATTTCCTCTTCACTGCAGCTTCTTTTTAGTCGTATCTAATTCGAAACAGATCTTCCTGGCTAAGACAATAACATCTCATCCAGCATCACTTATGACGTTATCATTGCATGTTTTCTCGACAGTGTCCTTATGATATTGACAAGGTTGAAATCAGCTAAGGTTTCCTTTGAAAATTTTAAGGATAAAATGTTTAAAAATTTATTTAGAGACAAATATTTGCGTTTTCCTCGAAAATTAAATTGTTGCGTGCAACCAGCTTTGTAATGATTTGATCGTAATCTACGACAAGGACTCCAGGTCATGTTTGTAAATTTTGTTGACAGTTAGCCTCAGCAAATAACTAAGAAGCATTCATTATCATATAAAATGTTTTGCTTTCGTTTTCATAGTGAAAGATTCCTTCGGCGAGATATTCCGGCTATCGTAAATGGTAAACAAAACTTACGGAATATAAAATGCAGGCTTTGTGATAATAAGATTCAATTATCCGAAACAGTTTATCACAACTATGAAAAGTTCGTTGTTTTGCCGAAGATATCGAATCACAACAATTACACTGAGAACTAGTTCAGCAACGGCTATAGATCAAAGTCATACAACTCACCGGATTTTCCGACACCTGCTTCGCCAAAAACGATGACTTTGAACGGTTTGCCGTCCAGTATGTCATGATTTTCATTCATTCTCGCGGGATCTGGCCTCCTCTCCAGACTTGAATTTTTGTTTTTGCTTTAACCAAAACAAAGGCCACGTTTTCCGAAAACTTTCCCAAGCCTGATCAATACGACTGTCAAGCTTACAGACCAAAACAAGGAATTATGATCTATGTCGAAATAACCAATCGAACGATTTCGTCTGTTCTGAACTGTCTTGAAGCTGAAGCAACATTTGTGGAGAGTGAAAGTTGATTCTGACCTTATTGCGGAAGTCGTCCCGTGACGGAAAGCGTGAACATTTCCGTGACATAATAATGTCACGAGGTGTCACATTTCAAGTTCCTGTTGCTTCTCTTTGTAGCTAGTCGACAACTGTGCGATATTGTAGTATGTACAAATTTTGGAATCCCTCAACATTTCTAAACAAACATTTGATATTCCTGAGAAGTTTGAAAGAAATTTTCGGTGGAAATCCTGTAAAAATTTCTGACTGCCGGGCACTTGGTCACAGCGTTAAAGAAAGTAAACAACAACAACAGAAGAAAGTCTATCAACTTCGACTACAGCCAATCCCTTCCCCCGGCATTCACTCCCTAAGCTACTCTCTTGAGTCACAGCCAGTGTTTGGTCTCCCAGTTCATCGTAACTGAGCCTTTTCGTTATGAATTTTAGACAATTTACTTTATCAACTCGGTTGATAATACTGAATATTTACCCTGTCCACTTGAGGGTCTCAGTAGTAGGAGCGTTTATAAAAAGTGTAGGTTCTCATGACGTGCATAGATGTTTTGGCAAGCAGCCCGATCGTAACTTTCCTAAGGAACTATGTTGTTGTTGTTAGCGGTGGTACAATGTATTGTTGTTGTTGTTTGGACTTAACTCCTCAGGAATATGAAAATTTCGATAGCTTGAAATAGTAAGACAAACTTTCTAAAGCTGCAAGAACTACATGTTATCATAATTTCCACTATTTTGGTCAGGATGGAAGGAAACTTGAAGTACATATGTGCCATAACCGGGTACCAAAAAGAAAAGAATGTGCACGGCTCACTCTGATGTTCATTTTCATTTCTACGCAAATTTTGCGACCTTGAAAGCGACAAGTGGACGAGCAATCACGGATGAGCATATTTACATATTCATCGGGATCCGTCAGTCGCTAAAAATTCTTTTAAGGGTCAAGTAACACAGCTTTCATCTGCTAGAAACATAATCGATCAAAGCCCTGAGGGACATATCTTTTGTCGACGGCATTTAAAATAAACTGTAGGACGAACAAAGTTAGCGAAGACAGGTTAAATAAATGGCAGATGTTATTCACTGGTGCAACCTTGGCCTCCTTTGATAAACAGCGAAGATTATTTTTCAGAGGGCTACGTCTAGGTTTCCAAATGAATCATGTTCTTCACAACAACTCGTTTTCTTTAATCTAAACGGAAGCTACACGTGATCAGGTGATCCTTTCTGAAGATTTAAAAAATGCTCTCCAACATATGAAGCCGTGCGATAAAAGGCAGCGGATAGCTCTGGAGTAAACTTATTTGCTACAGGTTCAGTTGAATTCGAGATTCGGTGGCCGTAGGCTGTGCGGGCTGAGTGAAGCTGAAAGCTAAAGGACCAAAGGTATTTTGTCTTCGTACTTTCTTTTTTTTTCGGAGATTGATAAGTTATAACGAAAGAGAGCCAAAACACTTCACCAACGCAGGATCCACTTTCTAAAGGGAGCAGTTTCACTATCCACGTTCATTCGTTTTAGGTAAATATTCATTATATTATACAGTGATCCGTTATCGGGCGAGGCACACGTTAAAACCTCTTTAGAATGTTCAATTCCTTACTTCTTGGATCTGATACGCGAGAACACTGCTTGAATATCAAACCTAATTACTTCCTTAGAAACAAGTTAGTAATAGCTCTTGTCAAAATATTGTTGTCGAGGTCATTAATATATTTTACTTCGTAGCTTATTCATTCCTGACCTGGTTCAAATGTGAACATATTTCTGTTAAGTGTCTCTACAATGTGGATCATACAATTTAGTTTCCATTTACAGTTTTGGTGCGTGTGGATCATATCTTCACTAATTATTTACTGTTAAGATGTGATTGAGATTGATTTAAATTATCTGTTACGGTAAGGCCTAATTTGTCAGCCAATTCATTCATCTGTTCAATTAGTATTTTCTATCTGCTTAACACCATTAAGGGTACATTAAAAAATCTACAAATTAATTGAGTCATCGACGTAATGTGCAGGTGATATTGAAGACTTGCATCCGCCAGACCTTTGACTGAATACTAACGCGATACAAGTATTTGTGTCTTGATTGCAGTCACATCTCCAAAGTAAGTAGTCTTGGGGGTCAAATTTTCAGATAATCTTATCTATTAAATCATTCCAGGGCTAATTTCGATAGTAATATAGTATCATTCGGAAGATGTCATAAAGCGAAAACAAAGATAACTGAGATCAAATTTACGGCAACACTTTCGAAATCACCACATCCTAACTCCCCCCAAAATAAACTGTATCTAATTACAAATTCATGCATTTTGTTTCAGTCATGTTCGTTAGCAAGGTTGCAACTCTAATTTTACTGCCTCAGTTTCAATATCCGCGACCTTGGCAAATTTACTTGAAGCTGTGCTGCAGTCTTCTTGCAATTGCAACGTGAAGCATGCATGATATGAGGCCATAAAAAAAAGCTTACGATCGGTATTAGTTTCCTTACAAATTGAGTTAGACGATTCGTAAAATATTTATACACCTTTAAGCTTGCTCTGAGCTACTTTGTGGAAAGATGCCCGATTGCGTCTCGCAGTCCACCTCATCTAATATAACTTGAATGTCTATGTTTGACTTGAAAGACTGAACCTTTATCAAAGTTCCGCTGACACGTGCCATCAATTTTCCTTCATTAACAGTAGCTCAAGACTACGTGTGGTCTCAAAGACGTTCTGAAATCAGTCGCGTTTAGCTTCGGCGGAGTTTGTCTCAATCATATTATACCCAAGGAATGTTGAAAAGATAAGCTAAAGTCGATTAGTTGAGCCACTATCATCAAAGCGGCCAACAAGACCTTAAGACAGACGAATTCACTCAGTATTGATCTGGGAACCTTGTTTTTTTTTTAAATGACTCGATTGAAAT